TGCGGTTGTGGGACTTCGCCTGAACCCCATGACCTGCTTCTCGTTTGCTGCTGTAACGGTGCCAGCTATGCTGTTCGTTGCTGTTCACTCCTGTATCTTTTGTCCATATCTTTTTTCGGCAGGGGACGGAAGCCGCGCCACCTCCTTGCAGGTGAAGCTCTTCCAGACGAAGAGCCGCCCCCTGCAGCTGCAACTGCAACGGCAACGGCGGTGGCTGACGACCGCAGGGTCGCTGCTAAGGCGCTGAAGAAGCTCAAGAAGGAACAGAAGTAAGCGTTGCAGTTGTAGTGTCTAGACATCTTCACGAAGGTGCTTGTTGCATGAATAAAATAGCTACATGCATGCGTGTCGGCTTCAAATTTGGCCTCTGTTCAGGAAGCTGAAAAAGATGCGGAAAAAGGAACAAAGAAGGGAAGCAAAACGTCTTCGCATGGTGAAGAGAGAGCGCGACAGCGACTCCTCCAGTTCTTCTCGCAGCCGTTCATCTTCAGCTGACAGCCGCAGCGACCATCGCGTCAAGAGGCTCCGTGGTAGCCCGAGCCCCAGCAAGCGGAGTAGAGACGTGAACAGGAATCGTCGGGGAGAGGAGCATGCCGNNACAAACGCCGGCGATCCCACAGTCGGGACAGAGGCCATAGGGGCCGCAAGAGCAAACGACGGTCGCGCTCACCGCAGAGTGAGGAGGAGAGGGAGAGGCATCACCGACAGCATCACAGGAGCAATGGGCAGACCGGCGAGGGCAGCGAGCGGCAGCGGGGCCACACAGAAGAAAGAGCCCACAGGCGTCACCGTTCAGAAGATGAAGAAGGGGCACGCCATGAACGCTCATCGCGGATGCAAGCAGCGGTGAAGGCGGAAGGACGCAGATCACCCAGCAGCAGACGCAGCGCTGAAACTGTCAAAAGGAAAGGGGAGGGGCAACGGACCCGCTCCAGGGAACGAGTAGAAGACAGGAGGTCGCAAGATGAAGGTGGGCCAGCTGCACCTAAGAAAGCGGCAGTGGAGCAGGACAGACTCAGGGATGATGGCCGGCACCACCGACGAAGCACAGAGAGGAGACACGCTCCGAAGGACTCGGGGACGCTGCGAGTAAAAAGAGAACCATGAGCTCCTCTGCAACAAACATCCTTCGATGTGTATAGGCATCTGATACTGACTGTTCTCGCCGCCATCGAAGCCTCCAAGCCAAACACAAAAACTAAATTATATCTGCTAAGTCATTGTCGACAACTCACTTATCTGCCCTATGCCGCAGCAATAGTCATTGCGCGGGGGTTGTACCGATTTTTTTGTTACAACTTTTTGTTGACGAAACTTTTGCGAAAGGCAAAATGCTGCGCAGGCTCGCAGTGCAACGGAGAGAACATTCTCATTCTCATTTGTCATTTTCATATTGCGGACAAAGGTCCGAGGTGCAGCCCAGCAACACAAACAACGCAAGCACCACAAGCAACCCAAGTAGACACGTGTGAACGCAATTCCAGTTGAAGTCTTCCTTAGTGCCTACGCGTTGGAGGCTCTACGCGGATCGACCGGCTCACATGCGCAAGCTAAGCTGCAAATGATTTATCTGTATCATCCGCCCTTCATATTTACTTAGTTGCGGTGCTTGTGTCTCAATCGGCTCCGAGCAGCAACGGGCTGGCCAGGCCCAATCTCGACAACCCGGTTGCAGTTATACGAAATGATTTAGGATTTATTTACTACGGTGGATGTACATCTGGTCGGCGTTCAGCCCCTGAAGTACGAACTGAGAAGTGGAAACGTCACAAACGTCCGACTCGTAGGTGTGAGTGCGCGGTAGGCTTTGTCTTCGTTTTTTTGTTGCTCACGAGTATGAGGGGCGGACAGGTGAACAGGCTTATTGATTACATGCTTGCGAACGTGGGGTTACTTTAGTGGCGGTTGAATGCTCCCTATGGTCCCCAGGCAACAATGAGAATCCTAGTTGTTAGCGCATATCCTACCTGGAGCTGTTTTTCTTACTTGAAAACTGGGCTACTGATTTGATGAGTCAGACGCAAGTGATGTCATGCAAGCACGCATGGCTGCTGGCCATGCGCCAACGAATGAACTGCAGTCCTGTCATACCTTTACAAGCTATTTTCGAGATGGGATCAATTAGCTGCACTCCTCACTACTTCACTACCCTGTTTGCGCACAATATCGAGATGCAACATGCAGGAAACACGACCGCAAAGTGCCTATTTACACTACAGGAACCACCGTGAGTTNTATCGAGATGCAACATGCAGGAAACACGACCGCAAAGTGCCTATTTACACTACAGGAACCACCGTGAGTTGATGGCGCAGCTCTGACACATGCTCCGAGTGTCAGAGCTGCAATGTGCTTTAAGCGTTTGCAATTTTGACAAATATGACGGGTGCGGCGTGCCGGCCTCCGTCACCAGCGATACCTGATGCGAAGATGTTTATCCACGCGTGCAGCAAGAACAAACAACAGGTGTCTGCTGAGCTTCCTGTGCCCTCCAGCAGCTGCTAAAAACGCACCTGTAGAAAAGGACTCTGCAGAGGGTCAGTACCACTGGCGAGCATCATAAGCACAAAGGACAATTCACCCAGCGGCAAGAGCCACTGCCACATTTAAAGTGCTCACTTTCGCCTCCTCAAACGAAGGGGAAACGAGCCCCGGTTGACTCTCTTCGATCCCTCTACTGCTGCTGCGTGAACTTCATCAAGGCTGAGCTTAACGCTCTGCAGATGGTACAATACCTTCATTACCACGAAGGCTGAAGCTGTTCGCGCTGCTGAAGACAAATGGCGCTCTGCGCAGTGCTCCCCGAGGCACTCTAGCAGGGCATCAATCACCCGCTGAGCGTTGATGTCCGCAGATGAGCTGCAGTCTTCGTATGCCTGAGCGATGAAGAAGCACACGTTCCCAAACCAGAAGCAACCGACTGCGTCATATGTCTACCTTTACAATGGTACTGGCGTCACTGTAAGGGGACTACCATAATTCACCGTCTCCGCTGTCGACTGTCAGTGCTGTCGC